GTCCCTCGAGTTCAATATCGATCGTCTGGCGGGAAGTGTGCACAAGGTGGAACAACGCATGGTCACGGCCGGCCGACAAGCGGATAGGGTGCTGGGCCTCACTGCTGCTAGGTTAAAAGAACGCGGGGAACGGGAAAAGACTTGCGCGGGCACGAAAGACATGCCCATCATGGAAGTACTTCGGGGCCTGGGCAAGATATTGCCCGAAGGCGGCGGATAACTCGAGCCAAAACTAAGAAAGAAGTTAAAGAGAAAACTAAAAACACATCTGTATATGTTACAGCATTCATTCGTCTTCGTCACGGCGCAAGGGGGCAACATCATCGAGGGACAAATTCTGGAAGATACCACATTTTCGTTGCGATTCAAATCAAATGTCTATAAGAGGGTTGGTTGATAGAAGAAGGAAGGGGGACGGACGACAGAACGCCACAGCCTCCTGACTGACATACAACCTGTCATGTCTTTTTTGGCGTTGGGGCAAATGAGATCACGACTTGGGGATATGAGGTAATCTGGCTTAGGCGAATAATTCCCATTGTGGTGCCTATGATGAGCAAACCATAGCAAAGCAGACAGGCGTAGTAGGCGAGGTGTAAATAGCAAGGGGGCGTCGGGGCACCATCTCTCTCTGTGTGTGTGCCTTTGTGTTTCAAGAAAATCCAGACTGATGGATTGCTTACCTTTCGTTTGAATTTGACCCTGCTGTCGGGTGTTTCTTGATGGTTTGAGTGAATGTGTATATGTATTTGTGCTGATTGGTAGGTATGTGCTATCGCTTATTCTCAATGGCATGTGTAATACTTCCTTGGACGACGATGTCGGGGATGTCGGTTCTAGATATACGGACTGGGTAGGCACCAACCTAGCCGATGAAATCATTTTTAGGTGCTTGCCTTTATTGCTTGTTGGGATGTACATACGATACAGACGTTAATTGGTGTCGATGGTTGAATCTGCCTCCCCCCGCCCCCCTCCCCTTGCTGTCCTGAAATATAGACTGCCGCGGGCTTCCATCAAAATTTTCCTTTTTTTTTTTTTTTTTTTTTTTTCCTGTTCCCCCATGCTTTTTCAACTCGGTGTGACGCGAGGTGCCCGCCCGGCCGCCCGCCTCTCTCAAGACGGCAACGCAGGCATAAACGCCATGCCCCCTTTCTCGGCGGCGCGTGCGCGCACGTGGGCTCGCACGAGCGGCAGGATCTCGCTGTCGCGCCACCGCGCGGGCACGGGCCTGTACGCGGGCTTGAAGGCGCCGACCGTCTGCGCCCACTCGCCCGCGTACTTGTCGGGGGTCTTCTGCTGCGGGTCTTCTTCAGCTGCTGTTGTGTACGTCTTTGCGTCGCCTGTTAGTGGGACGCCGCCGCCGGTGCTGCTGCTCGAGTCTATCGCTGCTGCTGTCTCGCGGGAACTGCCGTACGAGGCGGAGCTCGTGTCTGTGGTGTTTGAGGAGGTTGGGGGGGAGGCGGGGGATGAGGTCGAGGTCGAGGTCGAGGTCGAGGATGGCTCCTCTTGCGTCGCCCAGTAGTATATGTCCCAGTCGTTCTCGTCGAGGAAGAGGTCGTACTCGGCCATCTGCTCGCGCCCCATCGTCGGTAGGTGTTGGTCTGCGAAGGTCGAGAGGAGCAGGTCCGTCTCGAGGATGCCGCGCTTGCGGGACTGGTCTGGTTGTTGTTAGCGTTGTCGTAGGTGCGCGTGCCTCGATATATGTCTGTCTGTCTGTCTGTCTGTCTGTCTGTCTGTCTCATGGTATGTGTAGAGTGAATGGAAAGAAAGGCTAGGCTGGATAGATATATAAAGTCAGGATGGATGGACGGATGAACGTACAGACAAGCCGCGCCCGCATCGTCTTCTCGTCCTCGCCTACGCGCCGCAGCGGCTCGATCGTGAAGGTGGCGCCCTCGAACTCGCCCACGGCCATCTCGCGGCGCCGCTCCTTCTGCGGCTCCATGGGCGGCGCATTGCCCACCGTCGCCATGCCGCGGGCGACTAGAGCTCGAGGGGCACGGGCGGTCGAGCGGGTTAGTGCGTGTCGCGCGGGACGGAAGAGGGTGCGTGAGAGAGACGCCATGGTTTTTCGAATTTGACTACCTCTATGTAATCAATCCTCTTGTGTGTGGTTAGGTACACCGTCTGTCTGTTGCTAATTACCCCACGTTCTAATGATGGGATTCAAATAGTGGATGGGTCATGTAGAAAAGAACAAGAAAGGTATCTGATTCCGCAATTGGCTCTTTGGAGGGCAGTATCGAATTATTGACGTAAGAAACGAGAAAATGAATGGGGACCGAACCGTTCCGCCCTGACCGAAGCTGCCCGGTCGACCCGGCCGGGCACATCTGGCCAGCGCCGATTTGCCCCGAGTAATTGGCTACCTCTTACGGCACTGGCAATATCGGATACCCATTCTGATTGGCTTGAGGTTATTTGAATGGGATTATCCTACTCCACACCACGCTAATTCGTGGTGTGCATGAATTGCCATGATAGCGAGATCGCAATACGGCACAACGACAACCACCCCATCACGCCACACATTGCACCGAGTAGAAGAGATATTCAAGTGATTTGATCATTCATACCCATTTTCATCCCCCAAACACCCCATCCCCGTTATATCGCCTTAGACGGTCATACAGACTATGGTTACAAGCATGATGTTTCCAGTTCCAGCATGCGTTGAAGTAGTAGTTTCTGCCTCCCCCTGGTCGTGGGCCTTAAATCATCTGGTCTCCTAGTTTGCCATCTCCGAGCTCATGATGGATGTTTTTCGTATTACTCCTGACCCGGATTCCCAAAGGGCCTGTGGTAAGTGGTAGAAGGTCTATTTCGCTTTCGCTCATCTGCATCCGAGGGTGAAAATGGAACGTGTGGTTGGTGCCTGGTTTAAATCAAGTGCTTCGACCGGAAGTAGGCGCGCAGGTACATGATCTGCCAGCCCCAGAGAGCGATGAGCAGGGTGGTGGTGCCGATGCCGAACCACTTGACGCGGGTGTTGGTGCTCTCGTTGGTGTCGCGCAGCTTCTGCTCGCGGGCGCGCAGGTAGTCCATCTCGTTGACGACCTCCTGGATCATCTCCTCGATGCGGCGCAGGTCGGTCTCGACGGGGCGCAGCTTCTCGGTGGCCTGGATGGCGGACCAGTCCTTGGCGTCGGCGCCGATGTCGATGTCCAGCTCGACATGGCGGGTGGGGTTGTTGGCCCGGCCTGGTTTGAAGTCGCTCAGAGCTGTGTCATGCCTCGCGTCGGCCGAGCACCGCAAAGAAGAAGCGCAGCGGGGGTGGGCCAAGACTTACCTCCGGTCAGGATATTCTCGAAGCACACGTCGAAGGCGGCGTCGGCGTGCGATGTGAAGACGGTGCGCTGCTCGCCGGCGACGTCTCTCGGGCGGCCGTACTCGTTTCCGACGGTATCGCGGATCTGTCCAGCAACCGGGATTGGTTAGTGCTAGATGACGCAAACACCCAGCATCGGGGTCGTTCTCGGGCTTGGGCTCGGCCTCGGCCTCGTTCGTCTACGCACATGCATGTTGACCACCTGGCCATCTCCCTTGGCTCCGCTGACGATGGCCGTAACCACGACCAAGGTCTCCTTGGCGACAAAGTTCCGTATGCACCGCTCCTTCTTGCCGTCGCGCTGTGCCTGGGCTGTGAGTTCGAACTTGAGGGCGTTGACGGATGCGATGAAGAGCACGATGCCGCAGACGTACTGCAGCAGCGCTCGTGGCAAAGCCATTGTAGGTGCTGGGGCGCCGAAAAACCAGGAGCCGTGGCGGTCTTCTTCGAAGCTAAGCTGAAGGGCGAGGCGGAGGGAAGGATGGGGGATTGGATAGGCACCAGAAGCGTACCTCAAGTCTACCGCAGGAGCAGTGATTCTGGCGACCGACGCAGCTAACGCTAGGTAGGCTATTGATTGGGTGGTTTTGCGGTGTATCCAGCACTATACGTGTTCAAGTGTCTGGCCAATTGTATTGCGCGGACTGGGTGGGGCCTTTCCCAAGCTAGCCTTGCATGTACCTAGGTATTGTGGGGTCGGCAAACGGCTAGGGTATAAAGGAATGGGCTGGGGGTTATTTACATACTCGCGAACTTAACCTTCTACACCATCATATTCCAAGACACTCATTTAGCTGGCCTTACAGGCACTCGCTGGTCGAGCATACATACAAAATACAGTCCATTACACCCCTGTTGGTGGCCCTCATCATATTCTGGCGACTTCGGCCGGACCAGCGAGTTGAAAAGCCTGCCAGCTCGTCCAATACACTATGCTACGTTTGAAAAGACCCCTCTTCGTCATCTAGTTGCCGCGATACCTTACATACCGTACACACACACACACAGAACATTACGATTTTTGCAGTTACAGCAGTACGCTTTTCGCTTTTTCGCCGACCTTGCCGGGGTACAGCGCCGTACTATTTCCCGGTCCTACCCCTGTTGCCGCGTTTGGCTTTGGTATGCCGTTTTTTGGCCAGGTTTTTAATGTGGGAGGGCTTAGTGGTTGCGTCTGTCGAAGGATATAGGCGGCCGTGGCATTTTGTTGATCACCGTTGGATTACATTTTTTGGTTGTTCGTTCGTCGTGTTCAACGACGACGTGCGAATGGGGGCATTCGCGTTTGGGCACATTTGGCGGTGTGTGGGGTCGGCAAACGGCTAGGGTATAAAGGAATGGGCTGGGGGTTATTTACATACTCGCGAACTTAACCTTCTACACCATCATATTCCAAGACACTCATTTAGCTGGCCTTACAGGCACTCGCTGGTCGAGCATACATACAAAATACAGTCCATTACACCCCTGTTGGTGGCCCTCATCATAGTATAGTGATAACCACTAAACCGCAAGCAGCCTCTAATTGCTTGGCACTGATGCTAGCCACTGTTACCCAGGTACAATGTACAGTGTTCGAGCCTTTACACTTCAAGCTTCTCTTTCATCCATCATGGAGAAAAAAGAAAATTAAAAGAAGCGAAATAAAATGCAGAAGACAAAATTATATTCCCAAAGCCAGGAATCGAACCTGGACTTCCCACCCCCGAAGGCACGGTTGCTGTCGCCGTGTGTCAACCAGACGTGCTACCTCTACACCACTTTGGGTTTATTGTAGACTTAACAAACAATCATCATATATAATTGCTATTCACCTCTTTCAAATAGAGCAAGGCTCAACTGAAGCACGAGAGTGATAAATAACTGAAGTAGACGGTTTGATTGGAATTTACCTCCCTGCGTATACCTCATCTACTACATGAACTGGGCAGTACGGACATCTACATACAGAGATATATGCACTTAAGTACCTTGCCAGGATACTGCAGCTGTCCACCAAGTGCCACCTCCCGCCGCCACCGTCTCCCGGGCTATCTTGCAGGTCCAAAGACGGCGCGCGTCTCCCTCGACTCCATCAAGCTTTCAGCAAGCTCCATCGCTTTTTCCGGTTTCCGCGACAACATCTTCTACGTTTTTTGATGATTTGGCCCGTTCGAAAGCCGGTCTGCTAAGCCAAGATGCCGAAATGTAAGCTCTGCTTCTTTTCCCGAGATAAATGTCGTCCTTCCCCATTCTCTGTTTCCCTCTCTGCTTCGGCGCCTGCGAGCATCCTGACTTCAACCAGCCTGAACCTCGGAAGAGCCCAAAGCTAACATTGGCATTGCTCCAACAGTCTTCTGCGACTACTGCGACGTGTACCTTACGCACGACTCAATGAGCGTGCGCAAGGCCCACAACAGCGGTCGAAACCACCTGCGCAACGTCGTCGACTACTACCAGCAGATAGGCCACGAGAAGGCCCAGTCCGTCATCGACAGCATCACCTCCTCGTACGCCGCCGAAGGCCAGGCCCACGCGAACCCCATGCTGCCCCAGAACCAACCCGGCGCCCACGGAGCCCACGGTCCTGGCGGTGCGCCCGGCGCATTCCCGCCCCCCTTCAACTTCCCCGGCGGTATGCCTCCTCCGCCATTCCCTGGAATGCCCGGCGCTCCTCCGATGCTGCCTCCCGGCGCTGCCTTCCCCGCTGGCATGCCTCGTAAGTGCCCCGTTTCCCCGACCTTCTCAAGTGCCGTGTTCTGACGACTGTGTTTTTGCAGCACCACCAGGCCAAGCAGGAGCTGGTCGCGGCGGTCTTCCACCATTCCCTCCGGGTCCTGGCGGTATGCCCATGCCGCCCCCCGGCGGCTTACCGTTCCCTCCACCAGGTGGCCTGCCATTCCCTGGCTTCCCCGGCATGCCGCCGCCCGGTGCACAAGCATTCCCTGGTCCCTCACCGCCAGGTGCCCCCGGTTTTCCACCTCCAGTTGGTGGCCCGCCAGGCCAGCCAGGCCATCCCGGGCGTTAGGAACCATCCGGAAGCAATTTGGGGCCCGGGCAGTCTATGAACTCCCGAACATAAGTAGCACTTGCTCCGCCATAGGCAACTACAAGACGCACTTGTAGTCGTAATAGCGCGGCAGCGGACGTGTTATAAACCATTCCACGGTTAGTAACTCGGAACATCAGGCTGGAGCCGTACTACGGTATCTAGAAGGAAGTTTTTCGACATGCGGACCGAAAGTGCGACACTCAACGCTCGTTCATTCAATGTGCGGGCCATGATATGGAGAGCATCGACTCTTTGTCTCACGAATATTAAGAAGCCACAACTGGACTGCAAATCACTCAAGCATTGGGGCGAAAACACCTTCCGTAGATAGGGAGGGGCAAATAGGAGCAACACTTGTTGAGAATAGACGCAGGTCCAGGGATAATCTCTACATCGGGCACAGTTTTGTCTGTAAAGTATACGGTTGAAAAGCATGGCGTTCGGGCATGATAGATATCACATGGGTTGGCGTTCGCGTCTCTACGAACCTGCGCGTAATTTGGCCGGATGGGTCAGATACGATACCATCACTGTAAAGTACTTGACTCGGCATAGGATTAGTTAATAGGAACTAAGCCAGACGCTTATATCTTCAACCAGGAGTACATGTTCTCGAAATACGTGATATCGTGGTGGCCGTCCTGGTTACCTACACGCCACGGTCGAAAAGCTAGAGAGTTCACTATACAAAGCCCACATAGTTCAAGAAGAAGATGGTATTTCCAGAATTCCTTTCTATTGATTTACATTTTAGGCAGGAAATCTACGCCGGTCGCAGCCAGCCAGACAAGACAGATGGACTAGACCAGAGAGACGAGGACGAGAGAGCGAGAACGCGAGAGCCCTGCTCGCAGAACCAAGCTGATCCCTAACTTAGGCAGGTATTTATTTCCCCGCGTCGCTTGCCGTAGATAATCATGATGGATCCAGCCCATAGACCAACTAGCTCAGCTTTCTCTCCTCCTAGTCATTCCCACCAGTGCGGGTATGCCATGTGTCCAACGTCCAGGTCGTGATCGTGATGAAAGGGGGGGTTGGGGCGGGGGTAGCTAGCAGCAAAACAACGCTTGGAGGGAAAATCAAGAGACGTTAGTTGGCAGGGGCAAGAAACGTCCGAATAATAAGAAGCAAGCAAAGCCCTGTCGATATCCATGTATGTATGTAAAATTTCCATTTACGACTCCCACGATAAGATAGATAAACACAGAGAGCGAGAGAGTACCTAAGATATTCCCTCCTGAAAACCCCGAGCAATGCGTGCGTTATCTCGTTCTTTTTCTGCCTCGTTTCATTCCCTCCCTTCGCCTGATGGTAAATGCAAGAAAACAATCAATCAATCAATCCAACTCCCACGCCCTCGGATCCTGAGAGTGAGAAATCATCATAAGAGTCGTGCAAACTACTAGTATGGTGATGTGCAAGTGGTGTATGTGGGGGATATGGGGTGTAGTCTAGCTGAATTCGTGTCTCATGTGCGTCGTTAAAGGGTAGAGTAAACAAGGTGTAAGCTTCATTGTCCTTGGTAAAAATATGGTGTGGTGTATGGAGATAACAGTAACGTGCTCTGACTTTTAATAAGCACAGGCAAGAAACGACTAGGCTTATATCGCCGGATTGTACACCCGCGAATGTCGGTTGCTAGGTGTGCGGATTTGGGAGCCGCCTTGGTACGACGGGCCGCTGTAGCTCTTCCGTTTAATGACGTCTCCTACGCCATCTCTGACCTCGCGAGGCCCGCTGATCTTTTGTCGTAGGGCGTCCGTTCGCTTCTGACGCCGATGCTCACTCAGACGGCGTTGTAAGTTTTGTGGTTTATACTGTTCCAGTTTCTCCTGCCAACCAGGGAAAATTCGTCGTCCACGATCGTCAACCCGTTTCTCGACGCCCCAAAGACGACGATTGAAATGTTCAGGTGCAGTAGACGGCCGATCATCGCCACCATCTTGTAGATACAACCCGCCTAAGCGAACGCTACTGAAGCTACCGCGGTGTGGCATTACGCGTAGGCTACCACTAGGTGTCCGCTTAATTGTGCGACGTTCCGGACTGTGGTGGTCGGTTGCAATGTAACTGTCGTCATCCTCGATAGGCAAAATGGCAAATGTGCGTCTCATCCGCTCACTTAGGCTTCTTCTTCGGAGGGGTGGTGGATGGTCATCAAATGATGAACAACGACTATTACGGCGGGATTCTTCTGGCACATCATAAACTAGGTCATTAGCGTTATCCTCTTGATCGAAAGTAGGTCTCCAGAACGGATGTAGCCTGGATTCATCGGCTGGTGAGTCGTCAGCCGTGGGATATTGGTGCGCAGCCGATTTCTTTTTCTTTTCCGAATCTGGATTTCCCGCTGTGTCTCTCCGGGTTGTTTTGGATAAAGAAAGTGTCCGTGCAAGTAGGCCGGGTCTGCGAGAGAATTCATTGTCAGAGCCTTTGCGAAGGCTGAATGCCCGGCGAACTAGCGATGGCCGTTTCTGAGTCTCCTCAAAAAAGTTTCCTAGCATCTTCTCCTTTTCTGCTGTAGGTGTCAGGCCAGATGGCGTAGCTGGTATAAACTTGATCGCAGGTGGTTCTGGAGGAACACGTGGGTTTCTGAGCGGGGAGTCAACCTCATCCATCGAGAATTGTGGTTGGGGAGGTGTTACAGGACCACCGTCAGGACCGCTGGTCGTGATTTCTGGGTTACCTGAGATCCCGCCCGTCACCGCCGACGGTTCTATCCGAGAGGAGTTATCCGGCAGCTTGTCGTTTGTAGTACTGACGGATTTCGACATATGGTGAACCATCAATACAGATTTGTTTTGGTGGGAATAAATGTTCACCGCCATTGCTTCCGCAATATCGGCTACTGAGTGTGTCCCGTTTGTTTCGACGGACGCCTGGGAGAAGGGGGTATTGTGCACTGTGAGCCGTTTGCCGAAGAATGGGTCACCGTTGTGGTCAACAAGCGGCTTTTGATTAAGTATCTCATTTTTGTGTAACTCCACGGGCACCGCCGGGTACTGTTGTCTCTGATCCAAACGGTCGCTCGTATTTTCACTGGGAGGCGCACGTTCCGTCATGGCGTGCGATAGCTGAATACTACTATCCCGCTCGATTAGGGCGTTGTGCGCCTTCAAGCTCTCAGCAGTCAAAGACCCGGCTCGCGACCCAGCGCGAGAGGTGTTTCGGCTGGTGGGAGCAGATAGAGAAGACCTCCTCCGTGGCACGATAGGGGGGTAGTCCATAGTCAGTTGATCCGTCGGAAACGACCCGTAGGTTACCGACATGGATCTACCCCTCCGTGATGGCCTGTCTAAAGATGCGGATAGCTCCTTTGCCGCAGAGAATTTTGACCGTGGCACAGAGCCCACACTATTGCTTCTCTTAGCATGTTGGCTGTGTGTTGATCGCAGCGAAGGTGGTCCCGAATATTTTGACTTGAGAGATTCCCTGCGATCTGGAATAACAACGACGGGGATGCCGCCATTTTTCCATACTTCACGTCGCACTTTCCTGCTTGCAATGGAATTCGCCGTACCCGTAGATATCATGCTGTCCGTCCTCGAGGCGCCAAGCTTACCAGGGGCTCCAGATCGCCTCGCGTTTTCGACCTGCCGAACGGAAGTAGAAATAGAGCTCGGAGGGGAGAATTCTGGGCCCGAATCCCTTAGCGCTGTCTGTTTTCTGACATGTCGTAGTGTTTTCTGCCTTTGTTGGGGCATGTCGACCAAGATGGCCTCGACAACCGTGGAGA